TTTTTTTTTTTGTCTGGACAACATTTCATCTCTGTTATGCAAAAAACTGATTAACCAATTTGTTTTCCTGATTTATTTGCATAAGATGAAACAAATTTGGGAAGACGAGAAGCAATTTCTAAAGCCGTATGCGGGTTTGGAAGATGACGTGAGGAAAGAAAGTACAGTGTGGAAGTGAAGGATGGGATTGATAGGGGAGAGCAATTTTAAAGTTGATTTTTTGCAGAGGTCAACTGTCTAAAATACGGTACGCTTCTATTTGGCAATTATGCGTATTGTTTGAAGAAAAAAGTCTTTTTTTGATTATTTGGTGAAAGTTTTGTTTCTGTTCAGGAAAAATCAGGGAACTGAGTAGGACAGTCTAAGGTAAAGGAGTGAAAGAGGTAAGAGGACGAGGGAAAAACTGGAAGGAACATTGCTAAAAAAAATGTCGATTAGTGACACTTTGATCTATTTATTTTGATTTTCAATATTCAACATTTATTCATCTTCCACGAAGTAGTTTTTTTGTCTCTGATGAATATGCTGAATTTAGCAGACAACAAATGCAGTGGATAGGGGTCATCATTTGAAGCTTTTCAGCTGATAACTGCAAATACAAATAATTTTTTTTTCTGTCTTTCTACACTTTTTTTTTTGGCTGTAGATAATCTTTAAAAAAAAATTGAATTTGTTAGCAAAAAAAAAAAACGATTAGATAGCTTCGACAGCTGTATGCTTTTTCTTCTGTCGAAGAAAAAAGAAACAGAAACAACAACTCAACACAGATGGGGGCTGTGGAAAAGTTACACATAAAAACGGACAATTTTTCAATGGAATTGTGATTGGTGTTGATGAGCAAAAAAAAAAAAAAAATTGATGAAAGTATTAAGTGTATTTTTGTATTGTTTCTTTTCATTGATTTTGTGCGTTTTTTTCATCGATTTTTGATGTTTTTAGGTACGTATATACGGGTCTTAACATTGATACCCCGGTCATCATTAGAACCGACCTAAATTGATGGCCAAACAGGAAAAAGGGGAAATTAACTTTTTTGTTCCCTCACCATAACACAACTACCGAAACTTTTTAAACTTTATTGTTAAGAGTTGATTAACACCAATTGCTGCCAAATATACAGTGTAGGAGTATTTGTAGAAATTCTTTTGTTTTCTGATCATTTTTGTGAACTTTTTTTTGTATTTGAGGAGGCCCTAATATGTTGTTTTGTTGTTTAGGAAAAAAAGAGAGAGAAAGAATGCAACTGATAATAATTGCTTTACATTTATTTTATTTCTGACGGGTAGACGGATCAATGGATGGGTGGATGAATGGATAGACGGACGGACAAATTTGTTTTTTTTTTTTTTGTTTTTCTGCACATATTGGTCCAATATTTATCTGATGTTTTTAAGCAATGATAATAGCAAATTTTAAAGCAATGATAATTGCTTTTAATCTTGAACAAAATTTTATTTATTAATTTTAAAAAATTTTGCTTTTTATTCTCTCTTTTCTTTTTTGCAGTAGAGATTGCACACTGTTTGTTAGACTCGTTTATATGCAATGGAGTATAGAAGTGGGTAAAGGTGATAAAGGTGATTTTGACATAAAATAAGCAGCAGCTTAATTGTTCACTGTTAACAGCATTGGTCGGTATTAATGATGGGGGCCGATGATGATAATGTGATAATAGGAATAATAACAAGTATTGTAGGAAATCCAGGAGACTAAAATCT